ATATCGCTTAAATCGGGTTAACCACGCAGCAGCCTTAAGTAATCTAGTCCAATCTGAATAATAATTAATAAGTTGATCAACAGTGGATTTTTCAGCCATTACATGCGCCGACATTGCTTTCTTTATTTCCAATAGATGAGGGTCAGGACCTTGTACATCAGCGGCAGGCCAACACTCCTTCGGCTTCTTGAGAAAACGTGGACCCTCCTCCCATACCTTGACATCATCAATGTCAAACTTGACCCCTCTGGATGCAAAGTCTGATATATTTTCTTTAGAAGGTACGAATCTCGATTGGTCCACCTTAGTATGACTCTGAATAGTCGAAATTCGATTTGCTATGAATGTTTTAAACTGGCTTTTCTCATTTCTAATATAGTGTAAGACAATCATAGAATCCGTCCAAAAATTAACCTCTGCAAACTTAATATCTAATTCTGACTGCAGCTGGGATCCCATGCGAGCTGTCAAAACTGCTGCCGTAAGTTCCAAGCGCGGTATAGTTTGGACCTTCGAGGGGGCTGCTCTTGCCTTAGCCGTTCGTCGTATATCACCGTCTTCCCACCACAATAGACGAAATGCTCCCCTGTCTTGTCTCGGAATCTTTACTTGAAGAAACATCTCTTCGATATCAGCAGCTAATGCTACGTTACCTAATCTGAATCGTAGAAGTACACCAATTAAACTATTTACAGTATTCGGTCCTCTCAAAAGCTGGCCATTAAGAGAACAACCTTGATAGACAGCCGCACAATCAAAAACAATTCTCAATTTTCCAGGCCTTTTAGGGTTGATAACAGGATGATGAGGAATATACCAACAAACAGCATCATAGTCAAATCCCTCTTCACTAGCTTCAATGATGTAGCCCTTTCTTAAATGTTTATTCATCACAACTTGATATTTCTCCAAAAGACTGTTATCTTTCATAAACCTCTTCCTTAAGCATTCTAGTCTGCGTTCAGCCAGTTCCAAATTTTTCGGTAGTCTTGGCTTATCATACTTCCATGGTAGACCAACTTGGAAATGACCACCCTCCAATCTAAACGAACTGCTAACTATTTCTAGAGCTTTTTTATCTTCAACAGAATATCCATTACGAAACGTATCTGTATCCTCGAACTCATGATTATATAGTCTTTCTAAATCTCGCAAAATATCATTAGTGGAACAATGACAAAACTGAACTTGATGTAAAGACCTTGATATTCCCTTAGGACCTATAATCATCCAACCAAGATGAGTACGCACAGCAAACGGATGCTTCCTGTCCCCCAGACGTTGTTCCAGGACCCAATGTGCATCCGGAGCATCACACCCAATCAATATTCCTACAAAATTACTTTGCAATCTCGGAAGGGTTATGTCCTTAAGATGTTTCCACCGTTTCAGTTGGAGTTCGGTTAAAGGTGCTGCATGATCGATCGGAAGTTTCTTGGTCGTGTAAACTTTGTTGATCCTTACAGAACCTTGTTCATCTAATGAAAACACCTCTAAATTTACCTCCAAGCATTCACAATTGGTAGTTCCGTTGACAGTCGCCACCCTTATCGAAGTCTCTTTACCTTTAATACCCAACTGATTAATTAATTCTTCACATACAAGAGAAGTGTCCGAACCACTATCTAGAAGTGCATATGTTTCCAAACATCCTTTGGGACCGTATAGTCTGACTGGAACGATCCCCAAACAAACCTTTGAAGAGTTCCAATCCTTAGCTAGGTTCACCACATGGTTATCAATACTATCAATATGCAATAATGAATTATGTCTAACCTTGCAATCCTCAACGTCGCACTTGATGCCTGAGTTGCATGTCATAGCTATGTGACCCTTCCTCAGACATGAGTAACATAGACCACGTTTTCTTACCTCCTGCCTCCTTTCTTTTACATTCATTTTTGCTAACCTTGGACAATCTGTCGCCTCATGATCACCTACGCAGATTTCACAGCGTGATACCTTGACTGAGTTATTTGGGTCTCGTCTAATTGCATGAAAGCGTGATCTATCAGCTTGGCCTTCAGAATTCCTTTTACCGAACCTTGAGTTACACTGTACTAATCTACCATAACGGGTTCGGGCAATTCTGGCCCTCTCTTCTACAAAGACCACAAATTCTTCAAAGCTCGGCTCCTTCCCATGCATCATGATCTTATCGGCGACTTCCACCCACTTATTCTGCAATTCTAGTGGTAGGCGTGAAACTATTACCTCCAAATTAGCCGTAGAATTAACGTCAGACATATATCCCATTTGCTTCAACGTTATACATACATTACGCAACTTAATCGCAAAGTCAGTTAATACGTCAGCCGATCCTCCGACAGGTTTATGGTTTAATAACTCAATAATTAGTTCTCGTGCAACAAGATGTTCTTTACCAAATAAATCATACAAAATTCGTTTAGCCCTATCATAGCCCAAATCACTGGGCAAAGAAACGCAAGATTCAATTGCTGTTCTGGCCTTTCCCTTGCAATAATATAACAAATACGACAACAATTGGCCCTTATCTGACAATTTACTTTCTATAAGGCTATTAAACTGACTAATAAAACGGTAATACTGACCCGGTTGCCCATCAAAGTACATCATATCGATCTTAGGTAAAACCATGTTACTAACCATTGTATGTAACGTGTCCTTCAGCTCACCGACCCAATCGACATTTGAGATGTTACATACCTCCCCTGAGTGATTATTACACCCAGTATCACAATCCAAATAATTTTCCACTTTAGCATTTATCCCACATTTATCTACGGGTAATCGTTCATCGTCCTCGATAGCCTTGCATTCTAGTTCAGCGATATCAACCTCCTCTTGTAGATCTAACATCTTAAGTTGCCGTTCTAATTCGAGTCTCTTCTCTAAATTCCTTTTCCTCAGTAATGCTTTATCTAATTTTAATCTAGAAGTACTTAGCTGGCTAGAGGACATACTATTAAGACTAACATTATCACATTTATCATCATTAACATCAGACATACCACAAACAGCTTTAGGAATTTTACCATCCATTTCGTCATTTTCCTTCAGCCTTTTGCTCCGTGTTTCCATCGTATTTGTTGTTCCAAATAATCAATTACCAAAACAAATCCGAATTAATCCAAACGAAATCGACCAATAAGACCAGGAATTTGGACCCAAAATATCCAGAAAATTCAAGGTATGAACACAGAACCAATAATTGAAGAACTTTATGTTACGTCCAAGTTTTGCTCGTTCCAGTTATTGAAGTACGGACTATCGATCTACTCGCAAATTACGAACCCAAATTAACAACAGAACCAAGTCCCAATTTAGATACCAAATGTATTCGTAATTCACAAGTAATCGACCAAATGTCGTTCTAACAACAATAATTATAACAATTACAAAACAAACCTTCAATTTTGTAGGTTCCCGGAGCAAAACTCCCAAATACCAAACCAAAGACAAAGAGAGCACCAAAATACCAAACCAAAGACAAACCAAAATGTCCGAAGTAATGATATAAACAAACAAGTTCAAAAGTTAAGTAAAACAATTACATCCAAAAGCACAGTAAATTATTAATGTACAATAAAAGGTTTTAATCCGCCAAATGTCTTCAGTTCTCCCGTAACAGTTCATGATAATGAGAGAATCGTCACGAACTGTTGTTAATTTACCAGGTTTCACGATGGGTTCAGGTTTAATAACTTGTTGTTTGGAGGTCAGTGTGTGTTTATGAATCTTGGGCTTTTTATTGACCGGACGAACAGTCTTGGGGGTAGACTGTGCGACTAAATCACCAGTTATTTTCCGTGCAGCAACACTTGGGTTGCTCGGCATAGGCGGTGATGCGTGGTTCTTTTGGACTCTCTTAACGTGGGTCGAATCACCTACAGGGTTTTTGGGAACCACTGTTGTTCAGGGACCCTGAGCTGGGAGACCTGAGTTTGCTTAGGGAGTCTAATTCCGTCGACGTAATGATGGTACTGAGCCTCGACACGTCATTAGTGTTGATGGATGCTCCATCGATGGTATACCTGTCGACATCCCTATTTTTGAGTCCGTTGCACGCTCTTGTTTGTATATCGGTTTTTTTACTATCGTATTCCAAGTTAACTGACAGCTTGTTCCGAAGACCTGTCAGTAGGACAATGATGTTACTCAGCAAGACTACTGCGTCCGTGCTGCACGTGACACATACCCACTTTTGGTCTGACTTGCTGAGTCTGTTGTAAGCAGTTGCTGTCAGATTTGTGCATGCTTCGTGGAACCAACCTTTGCAGTTGTCGCACTGCATGCCAGTTGTGACAGCAAAACGGCATCCCGGACGTTTGCATGAGTTTTTCATGACGGTGTTGAAGCAAACTATGTTATAGATGCTTGCAAGAGCCTAAGACCTTTTTAAAAAAACACTAATAAGCACACTGAAAACGGACAAAAATGGACAAAACGAGTGATATAAACTGAAACTAGTCTATACGTGAAAAACAAAAAAACCGAATAGTAAGCTGAGGCAAAACCACAGGTAACTATTAAATATAATGAAACTCAAAAAAAGTAATCTACCGAACGTATAGCTCAGGATAGATTCTTTAGAACTGAAATGGTACTTTTGTTGCGTAAGAACACAGCAAAAGTTTGATATATGCAAATCACGTTAGGACTAAACTTCCCGTTCGAAAAGCGCGCGGTTACGCTTAGAACTCCAAAATGGCCTGAAGAAATTATCTGAATGGTCTCAAACCTGGCAGTTGCCGATAAATTGTTTCCATTAAATCAATCGCGTTCTTTTGATAAAAGTAGGTCACTACAAGGTAATGAATTCCACTCAACGAGGGGAAACTGATATCATGCATCATCACGATGGCATCGTTTTCGTTACTTTAAGAATGGACGTCATCAGACACATTGTGGCTGAACTCAATCCAAATCTAAAAATGTATTGATTTGGCCGCTTCTGCAAAACTTCACAAACTGTCGAAGTGACGCACCAATCGTTTTACAACAGCTTGACCTTCAAGTGCTCAGCAACCTCCATCAGTGGACGATACCCTTGGATTGTTGCCGTTTTTTGTAACAGGGTTGGTTGCCTACTTGGAGTTACGATCCCAAGTTTTTCTTAATTTAAGACTTGTGTTATTGCTGTCTATTACTTTCCTTTATAAATGTAAGTGCGTTGTTAACGCCTAATGAGTAGTCAGCTTGGGGAAATGGCACAAAAACCCCAAAATTTCTCCAGACCTGGGGAAATCCCCAAAGTTGGGAGCTTGGGAGTACACAATATACCTTCTAGTTAAACCTGAAGCAGTGGTGCGGACGTTCGCACCTTCAATTGACTCTTTCAAGAGAAGACTGGACACACAGAAGCATACTAGGAAAGGAATAACATAGGCCGTAGGCCTTCTGTCCTTACTACACAAATCTGAACCACTACAGTATCAGGCGTTCGGTGTGTCATTTTGTCAACTTCTTGTTCTGATCATTAGATTATTTTCACCACATACTAAGGGCATTCTATGAGCTCTCTGAGTTGTCGGCTCACTTTATCAGTGATAAAGAACTAGTTTCCCCTTATTCCTAAATTCTGCTTCTAACTTCTGATCCTGACCCCCACACTAATTTATTGCTAAATTTTTATACTTGTAAATGACTAGTTTGTCAAGGGCATTGTAGTGTATTCTGAAGGTCCCCCATTGGTCGTATAGCTCGCCAATCATCTGTGTGGTTATTTGTGGGTCGGGGAAATATAAGATACCAGGGTGGTAATTTTGCAGACCTAGTTGGTTAGGTGAGCTGAAAGACCACTCAACTATTCATTGTTTACTAGTAGCTCGATATACTTGATATTATGTATACTCAGCTTCATATTAAGTTGAACAACCCACAGATACAGTATTATATAGAAATAGGTGACATAATGCTTAGTACGTATTAACATTGGATCATACTTCACCCATGACATCAACATAATGGAAAATCTACAGAAAGATGAAACTAACATAATTGGACACTGCAATGATGAGAAAGATTTGTAGTTCGGATGGATGCTTTTGATTGTGTTATGGTCTCTGAGTTTGGTGACTGTTACTAAGTCTTCATTTTCGTTCTGGCCATCATCCATACTTCTGGGTGTGAGAGTGTATTTCTCTTTCTGTCGTCTCAAGTGAGCCAGTCATAGTTTCTTTAGTTTTGTGGATCAATAGTGTTTCTATTTTAGTATTGTGTTCTGATAAAAAAAATCCAAGGTACCAGATATTTTCATCATATCTCTCGAGCAACAAAAGTATGGATACCTTAAACAACTTATAACACTGCTACTTAAGCTTTTGTTTTACATTTCTTTTGGTTGTGTGAGGTTATTAAATATAGTTTACTCTTAAAGTGATTATTTCTTGACCGTTTTAACTTTTAATTTAAAAACCACTCGTTCTAGATGAATAAGGTTATGTACAATCCAGGACGTATTCAACTGTTCAATCTACTGAACGGAATATTATGCGTTTATAAATCACCTGGGTTGAATGTTGAAAAATTAACCAGAAATGTGAAATGCTCATTGGCAGATGGTTTGTCACTTTATATAAAATCAATTGTTCTTTTTCCTAATAGCTTTTAACTCACTTCCAGCTGAGAAACAGTCGATCAGAACGATCATTCAGACATCCGGTGATGTCAACTGTACTCTACCAAAAATAATTACAGAACCTGATATTGTTGATAGTGATCTTGGTACTTGAGTAATGTATTTCATTTATTTATTTATCTAATTCAAGTATTGGGTAAACGTTTTCTTCCAGGAGATATTATGTTATATCCTATTGATCCCCTTAGTGATTTTATGTCTGGTGTACAAGGTGAGTTTTGTGTTTATTTATGTTTGTTTATTTAATAGTCTATGGTATTGGAGAAGATGGTATTTACAATTATGCTGATAAGTTCGAACAATCTTCTTGGCTTAAAACCTATCACTTAACATGCATGATGGGACGTGCATCAACCGATGGAACAGCCAGTAGTACAACATTACTAAGAGCTTCATGGAGTGAGTGATAACTCCTAAATGATATTTAAGAGTAAATTCTTAATTTTGTTTGGAATCTCATCTATCTGTGGTTGTTTTTCCTGGAGTTGGCCATTGAAAAATAGACCTTTGTTAGACTGTTTCAGACAGGTCGCAATAGCATAAATACTTTCGTTTTTATGTTTCTCTGAATCCTGAGCACTTTGTTCCTGCAGTCTCACTTCTTAATTGTTTACTTAATGTGGTCACTCACTTCAAATTACATAGTGTTTGTGTATTGTTGAGTTAATGAGTGAGTTCGACACAGTTACCATTTATTATTAAGCTAGACTAATATGATTGCGAAATCTGCCTTTTCGGCAAAATCTCTTTCAGTATAGCTCAAAAGTATGTAAAAAAGGTGATCTAGTAGCATTGTGATCGAATTTCGGGTGAAAAGTACATAAAGCCGAAAATCTGTTCACGTACATACATGTATGCAAGACTAGATTTCTGGCAACTTGAACTGATGCATATATGTGCCTGGTCCTACGTTGTAACTGACTGACTGAGATGTCTGTATACATTGTATGACTTACCAGAAGGTTTTCTTAACTACATGGCCTAGAAGGATTAACTCGGTCTAGGGCGTGGGTTCGAATCCCACCTCCATCACATCCTTTGCGTGGCGCATATATATTCGGCGCACTCCTGTACCAATATATGTGTTCAAATAAATAAATAATAAATAGGTGATATATAACAGTTTGTGAGTAATCCAACCAAAATTTAAATAGTATCATGCGAACACTTTCATTTTAAAACGTAATACATAGCGCATGCGTTGATGATGCGTAGGTTAAAGTAAGCCATGACTACCTAGTGAACGAAGACTGATATATCTAGCTATATTAGCCATGAGTTTATGTAAGACTGATTTCACTTGTGTTCCGCTTACTGACTGCTCTTAACTTTGTGTCTGTAAACTATCGTGTGGTTTTATCTGGCTTTCAATCGGTTGTCAGATAATTGAGTAGAGTGCATCACATGATTAAGTTTTGTGATCTCTCTATCGATCAAATCATCGAGTGACTAGTCTAGAGTTAATTTATGCCGATCTGTGTATCGAGTGTCTATTATCGGATAGTCCAGTGTCCAGCACATAATCAATCGAATTCATTCCCAATATATCAATTAACCGCTATACTTTTGAGAACCTCACAACTATTATTCGTACATGCCATGGTGTATATTTTTTTCCTGTTTTCAAACGGGAAACGTGTTCTTAGCCTATGAAAAGAAAAAAAGTGACTGTTATATTGCAAAATTGGTAATATTTAGTCATTTTATGTAACCTACATTTATTAACCATTAGTTTCTGTTATAAAATTGGTTCTTATTACGGATTGAAATCAGCTGGTAAGTTGTGTGAGGAAGGAGTAATCACATAACCCAGTAAATTAGTTACACTTGTTAGTTCTAACATTTCAATCCTGTGGTATTGAAAATTGTGTTCATACATTGTTATTGATCTAAACGTCTAGGACTGCCCAGCTCAATTAATTCAAATTTCTATGTTGACTAATATCAGCAAAATGTGAATTCAGATATATTTTTAGTGCATAAATTTTCTGTTGTCTTAGTCTTCTGCCTTATGTTGCGCTGTATTAGTTTCTGCTCAGTTATAACACTTAAAGCCACTAGATTTAATCTCACTGTATCGCAGTTATAAATATGAACTATGGAGTTCCAAGTCATTAATCTAAATGGCAACATGCCCACCTTATTCACAACTTCATCAACTAAATATTAGTTTGTTAGTGCCCGTTCCGTAAATGTGAATGTGTATGATTTCAACCATTTAATGGTTTTTCTTTTGCATCAGGACATGTTCAAAAATGCAAAATAGATCAGGTTCTTGTTGGACTACAAGCTCAATTCAATGCTTCTGGATTATTACAAGCAGGACTTCGTCCTAATTCACAAAACGCATATCTAGCACTGTGTGGTCGTAGAGCTGGCAGTGATCTTCGTCCGGTAAAACCCACACACGGCGTAGAAGATTATGAAGGAGAGGAACAGTTACTTTCACCATGGGAACGTCCAATGCCAGATGAAAATCGAAATCCCGAAACACTACCTAATCGTAAGTATGAGTGGGAAGAAGAAAGAAGGCAAATGGCACCTTATGTAAATGCGATGTGTTGTGTGGATTTTGATCCTCCGTTTTTTACAATTGGTATGTTGATTTTTATTTAATCCGCAGAAGTTTTTGGGTTTTACAAAATGCTAGGATATTTATTCTGTAGTTTTTGTAAAATGTTATTCTCCTTAGTTATTAAAATGAATCAAAAATTTTTCGTATATTTTCATTGGTTATGAACATTTGGTAGGTACAATGGAATGTCAGGAGTTGGTTTTTCACTTTTGATTATGATTACTATTAGCTCAGATATGTTCTATTTCTTCAGAATCTTAGATTTTGTTTTCATTATTAGGCTTCAAATAAGTTATTCGAATGTACTATGTAAATGTTTAGTGCCTAAACGTTTCTGCTCATTCTTTCACTCTTGTTCTCAATATCCCTGTTATACTATTAAAATATATATGATTCCTGTGACTTACTTCATATTTCATATGTATCCAGTTCACTTACCTACACCTGTCACCCTTCATGAAGGAGCATAGGCCACTGATCAACATTCTCCATCAAACTCTGTTTTAGACAATTCTTTCCAGTTGCTATTTATCCTTTTGATGTCTGCTTCCGATTCTTGACTCAGTGTGTTCTTTGCCATTCCTCTTTTCAGTTTCCTTTCAGGATTCCAAGTTAGGGCTCGTCTCTTGATGCAGTTTAGTGATTTCCACAATGCATGTTCTATCCACCTCCACCATCTTTCCCTAATTTCCTCTTCAGCTGGGAGTTGGTATATTCTCTCACACAGTTGGCTACTGCTGATGGTGTCCGGTCAACAATCGACATTGAGTATCTTATGAAGACAATTGTTTATAAATGCCTGTGCCTCTTTAGTGATGGTTGTAGTAGTTCTCCAATTTTCAGCTCTCTACAGTAGAATCGTCCTAATGTTCGCATTGAACAATGGGACTTTGATATTGGTTGATGGTTATTTCTAGTTCCTTATGTTTTTCAACTGTAGGAATGCTGTCCTTATATTGCCAATCCTCTCCTTTACGTCTGCATCGGATCTTCATTGTTCATCGATGATACTATCCAGGTGCGTGAAAATTTCAACATCCTGCAGAGTTTCCTGATTAGGTGTGATTGGGTCGCTATTCTTCGTATTATATTTCAGGATCTTGGTTTTCCCCTTGTGTGTGTTGAGGCCCATTGATCCAAAGTGTTGTGACTTTATGTCCGGCTAGTTATCACGTGATTTATCCACCTTTCAAAATACGACTTATAAAATCTTAGCACTGTGCCAAACCAATGATCTTCGACCGATATGAGCAGCCTAGCATCTTTATTGGTCTTATGTTCGCCTAACCCGTCCACTTGAGTCCAGAACACCAATACCAGCTTTCACTATGCAAATCATATATTTTAAATATACTGGGTTTATATTAATGGACTAATATTATTTAAATATTCTTATGGTATAAATATTCAGCAACTACATTATGTATATCTATATTCCCCCTGCCATAAGCTTTATTTTGATTTATATTTTATTATTGTACGATTTACTGTTCTTAAGCTATGTTCAGTTTACTGACTACTGCCTCTCACGTTCACAGCCACTTTTTGGCTTTATTGTGTATGAACGTTATTTCCTATTTTATAATGTGTTGCGGTTTGTTTGGTTGATATATAAACCCAGTATATTTAAAATATATGATTTGCATAGTGAAAGCTGGTATTGGTGTTCTGGACTCAAGTGGACGGGTTAGGCGAACATAAGACCAATAAAGACGCTAGGCTGCTCATATCGGTCGAAGATCATTGGTTTGGCACAGTGCTAAGATTTTACGTGATTTCTAGGGGCCCATAAAGACACAACTATGACATCGAAACGTAAAAAAATACAACAAACATTTGTGCATCAAACTAAATCTTACAAGTTTCAGTATGCAAAAATACAATAGTTTTAGTATTTAATGTTTGTATAACAAAAATATAAACATTAACTTCATATAGAACAGTTCCATAGGTTTAACTTTACCGAATACGTATTTCAACATAGCAGTTTTGTTGTATTGTAATGAAAAGTTCAAAATGTTGTTGATAAACTTACTACTTACAAAAGGACTTATTGATTTTGGTAATAGTTGATATTCTTAACTGAAGAAAAAAACTTTCTGTAAGCTCATAGAAGTCGTTTGATTCGGTGGAAGGTGGCGGATACAGACTAACTTGGTCTTTTTTCTTCTTAAACTGTATAGCAATAATGCATTACTTAAATTAATATTTTATCTACACAATTCCTCTATTTTCTTTTTTTTATATATAAAAAAAACATCAACAAAATAATAGAAATTCAAGTTACACATGAAACATTGAAATTTTTCATTGATTTAGTTGCTAATCTTGGTCCAAAATTACGTACAGCTACTTTATTATCAAAAGTTAGACGAGTTAGACATGGACCAATCACAGCGGAAAATTCATTACTTATGAAACATTTACATAATATACCTATTGAATTTTATCATGAATTTATTCAATGTATCAATGATCTATTAATACAATATAAAAAACATGATAAAAATTTATCTATACCATTAGAAATAGATTTTATAGAAGATTTGAACTTATTAAAACATTTAATGAATCGTACACAAGGTAAATATGGTTATCATGTATTTGAGAATTTGTTTCAATGTAATCAATTATATTCAATAGGATATGAATGTACTAAACAATATAAATATCGTATGATTCCAATAAATTCTTAATTATTATTGATGATTATTATTTGTATATTCCTACAATGTGTACCATAATGTTTCACTATATGAATTGTATATAAATTTCATGTATTATAACTTTCTGTTTATGAAAATCATCATTTTAAGAAAAAATGTTTTGTAAACCTTTGTACGAAATGATTATATTATGTTAGGTAAACTCACTTTGAGAGTCTTTTACTTTTTTATTATTATCAGTCCTACTCACTAACTTCTCGCGGCATTACAGTTGTTTCCAAAATTGAGAGGACGAATAGCGAACATCCGATGTTTTAACCGAGTTAGTGGATACGGAGGATCCACCTAGAAAAGTTGGAAAACCCTAATTCCAAACCAATGGTGTACATGGGCTCCAAGATCCTAAGGAAACAAATAACGTATGAGCCAATTATTGATCACGAGCTACCATGTGACTGCATCCTTATGTTGCTCCACTGTCTTGTGGATTAGACCTTTAGATGAAAGGTTTGAGGTGTTGCCCTCTAAGAAAACCATCTGCTTCGGTTTGAGCACCTGGGCAATATCCCAGCCCTCACACAATTCGAATGAATGATATATGTGGCGCACATCTGTTTGGTGCCTCCTTGTACCAATCTTTATGTGTTTAAATAAATGAATATAAAATTATTATCAGTAAATGAAAATTGCCTATAAGCACCAGTATTTTTTTAAAAATGCATATGACAGTCAAGTAGAAAGTGAAGTATGTATGCACTGAATGGTAACTATTCTACATTAGTTAATTAATAAAATCCAAGAAAATTATATCATTGTGTGTTGGTAGCAATTTAGGGCCAGGATTTTGACTGGTGACTTCACGCGGGTTATGGGTTCAACAAGGCATAACAGAGATTCACTACTGAATCTATAGAACAAAAATGCTAGTTAACATGGAGTCATTGAGGAGTATTACTTCGAGTAATCTCTGTCTGTGAGACTAAAGTGAGTGTTAGAACTTTTCACAAGGTTCTGTAGAGAGTTCCACTACTATAGTTTCTGGTATAGTGTTCCACTACCTGCTGTTCCTTCTTCTCCAACTTTAACCTTAGCTGTAATTTGCAACCGAAGCACATACAGGGACTGTTAAGTTTACATAGGATATGTTAGATCATGATTGTATCCATCTATTCTTTCTGTATTGCACTTGTCACGTGTTTAGGTTCATCTAACTGAGCGGGTTTCATTTCTAAGTTTAAATCGTTTTTTGGTTCCTCTGAACTGACTTTAAGAGTAAGATACTCTTCTTATCTTTAGGGAACGTGATGGCGTTTTCTCCAGACTATATATTTTGAATCGTTTGAAACCTGGAGTAAGACTCAATATTTGGTACATGAGAAAGAAGGGTTTGTTTAGCGTTAGCTCTTGATCATCTTAAGATGTTTGGTTCTGGTGAAGATATCAAGTACACCACTTTTATTTCCTAGTAGTTTTGTGAAACTACTGCCTGCTATCTGGTTTCCGTGTAAAACAGTCGGACAGGAGAACCATTTGCAGTGTTTGACTAATTTCTCATCTGAAAACTTCTGAGTGATGTTCGCTTACCTTAGGAGAGATGTCACTCTCTTAGATAATGTCTAACGAAGAGCGGCAGGAATGATACTCTTCCTCTAAGATAAACTCTACTCAGCTCGTCTTTACATATTATGAGTGGATTAGGAGAGATGCGATAGAAATGCATAATATCACTTAAAATCCGCTTCAGCTAACAAACTGTAGCATTTGTGCTGCACGCATCTAACATCGAGTATGATATGATAATTCCAGTTCACTGAGTATCTTACAAGACTGGTATCGATATAACTTTAAGAGCCTTTTAGGACTTTTCGAATGAATGTTTGACGGAATCCCTTCACGTACAAACTCCTAGATGTAACTCGTTGTTTTGCTTTCTGAAATGAAGTTACTCTTAGATGGTGGTTGGAGATAGTCGACAGGAAACCCGGGTTTCGTGCTACTTGGGACTCGTCAGCAAGGTGTACCTGTAATCCTGAGGGAACTGGTGCTCCCTGGCGGATCCGATCTCGTGTCACCCAGCTTCACAGTCAGACGTTACCACTGAGCCATTCAGGGTTTCCTGTCGACTACCTCCAACCACCATCTAATCTCAATATATAGTGCCCGCAGTGTCGAGTCACCTAGACTGGTGGCCACATTGCAACATGATCGATAGCATTCCATCTGCACTAATAAGGACTAGACAAGCATGACATTGATCACCACCCAGTGATCAATCAATTGTGATGAAATTGCTCTCCTTGATTCCATACATGCATTCCTTTGATCCTTTAATTCCAGATAAGACGGTTATAGTTTATTTATTGTTGTAGCCTTTGTTTTTTAGTCGTTTCTACTGACTTTTTAAGATCCTCGTTATCTATTTATACGTTGTTTTACTTTGTCCTGATTATAAATGCTGCCATATCGATTTGTTCCCTCTCAGATTGTTTCACTTGAACAGATTGAAATTGTGTTTTGATTGTGAATTGAGGCACACTTTCATAACTGGAAACACACTGCTATAACGAAGTTAAAAAGTACTTTTTGTAAATACGATATTCCCAGAAGAAATAGAATAATGTTCTTGCATTAGCAAAACACCAATTTTTGTAACTGAATGGGTTATTATACTGTACTGAACATTTAATAGTTGACATAATGGGCGGTGATATTTGTATAGTACACTTAACTCCAAACGAACGAAGATTGGAATTAGTAATAACTCTGGATGTTAGTTCAAATGCTAGATCCCTATCCTTAACTTTAACTGGGTAGGAGTACTCCATAGTTTGATGTACAGCTGTCAAGACACATTGAGGCTGCTGAATCTGATGATATGTTCCTTATTGGGTACGCCACACCCAATCTTTCATCTTCAGCAAACGTGCGTGCATAAGAGTTAATTGTTGAAATGGGACTGAAGACATCAAAATGTTTATGTATTAAATGCCTATAAGGTATCGGAAATTCGCTTAGTTGGCTGTTTGGTTGACGTCAGACCTTACTAGGCTGAAATTATACTTAGGTCGCCACTTTCTCACATCAGGATTAATTCATGGATAAACAAAACATTCTGTGATGAAAGTTGTAGTTGTTTGGATACCGGGATTCGTTAACTCATGAAGGTGTTGGAATATTGGAATAAAAGGATGATTATTACCATCAGAGACATCGCAGATGACAGATGTTTGAATATCAGATAAGATTCTTTCCAGTATGTGTCATATGCTTGTTAATTAGCCATGTTTTCAAGATTGATATCCTTTTGTCATATTAGAGTGTTGGTTTCTCTTCATGATAAGGTATATGCTATGATACTAGTGTGTCCCCTGATGAACCGGGAGTCGGTTTAGAAATGGAAGTTGTCGTTTAGTTGTCTAGCTTTTCGAGGCGAATGCCGATCGTACGATGAAGAAATAACGTGAGGGTTGATAACCGGTAATTATGGTAAACTTTTCGTGCCTTAAAGTAACCCTCGTGCTATTGATAGAAGAAACCAGAGAAGTAGTGAATAGGTCTTTATTTCGATCTCAGCGCGGTAACAGTGGAGCGTGGGATTATCTGTTCAGACAAACAAAGGCTCTCAACATTCAATATAAGACAATAGGGAATATAACGCTTATACAAAACAAGGAAGTGGATGAATTCTTGAACAATACTGTTTTGGCATATGCTTGGTTGTTTGGGGTCAACTCTTAACCAACCAACCTAAGCTGTTACATTAGCTTCCCCCTAGAATCGACTTCCGTAGGAACGTCGGTTCGATTAACCTAACTATCGAAAACACCTTAATTCTATTTCTCATCCCAAGGGAAAATTATCAACTCGCTCACTGTTTGACTTACAATCAGTGACGACTGACGCTGTCAACGATGGTCCATGGATGTCTCTTCTTTACTAGTTTGTCATCCTATTTTGTAGCATGTGATTTCTTCTACAACTATCGCTGACGGTTTGCTGCGTGCTTTCAAGAGAAAGTGTGAAAATGTGGAATAAGAATAACTGAGGAAGTGCCGCGAGCGGGCTACCCAACACCATGTTGGTGAGGTACGATTTTTCCGTGCTCAGACCGGCTATCAGGTGTTTACTCACCTGCCTCTTGAGTCGCCCTCAAGTAAAAAGTAAAGAAGAATCTACTTCAAAGGTAATGGTGAAAATCAAGCAAACCTGAAGAACTGCTCCACTGCCTGCATAAAATAATAAGATACAAAATGGAAATACATAAATGTAATTGATAATTGTTCTGTCCCATGTAAGTGTTTGGCCTCCAGAACGGACTGGTATTCTGGAAGGAAATAGATATAGTGTAGATATCTTGTGCACGAAAAACCATGAAAACAAAAAAAATACTCTTTTGTAATGCATATATGTAAAAGGATGAACTTGGTAGAAGTTGGACTCTTTAATAAAATCGATCAAACGAGTGACCTTGAGCCTGTGATGACCGCGTTTTACAACTAGGTGCGTAACCAAGGGTGCATCAGAATACTCCACAAAACGGAAAAGAATATACGGCTAAGAAGCAAAAAAATTGTGTAGAGTATGCGGATCAAGTACAGTTGTGTCAAATACCCTAAGCTGTTACAAACTCACGTCCTTGTAATGAGGGTCTGAAATGTTTGGCAACTAAATACATCGACAGTAATCCAACCCCTTAGGCTAGGCTGCGTGTTTGTCGGGCAATAATCGGTTGAAAAAGAGCACTAAATGTTTGGTAACGTTGTTGAATTTCTTTTGGAAAACTGTCTCCGGTTTGCGAGACATCGTTGCACATAATAAAGTGGGTCGTATGATTTAAGTTTAGATAGGACACCATAGTGGCATCCTGTCTCACTGTCTTTTAAAGTATAGGACGGGGGACTGAAAACCTCACTTTCGTCCTCATCTTAACGGAATTCATATGGCTCTAATGTTTATGGACGGAATAGAAGAAGCTTTCGCCTAGCGGGCTCCCGTAGCCAGTAGTAGTGAATCACCGATATCCCCATTCT